AAATGCCCAACAAACTATTAAATACAAAACAAGTTATTTAAACTAACAAACTTGAATTAATCACTATATTCATCAGATACACAGATACAATGTATTACTCAGCAGTGAGTGTATTACTTGGTCTGAATGGTTCTGTGTAACATTTAAGTCATGTGAAACCAACCACATCCAAGCCAAACACTTAAACCTGGAGCCAGATTACAAGCTTTTCAAAAAAGCAGGTAAGACGACATTTCTTCTGCTCTCACCCTCATGGCTTTTGGCGATCGAGTGTAGTCTACCAGATCACAGCTCAATGAATACCCTGTTCCCCAGCCTGACATCACAAACTACAGAGAAGGAATATATACACCTGTAAGAAGCCTCATTGAAATTCAAGAACTACAGACAAATACATTTTAAGAAATTCATCTTTGGTCATACCATTTAATATCTTGAAATAAACTAAATAGTGCATTAAAAAAATTGAAATGAAAAACCCCAGCTCATTATAAAAAAAAACAGACAATCCAAGAAAACCATTTTTATATTAAATTTTGATTTACACACATTAAATACATGCACCAACAAAATGCAAATGTAAGAGGGATAATGGGCACAAAAAAAGAAGTAAATTGCGTTTTACTTAAACAGTTTTTGTTATTTACCCAAAGTAACAGTTTAGGGTGTTCACGTGAATTATGTACACCAAGTATGCTAATGTGTAAGAGTGGCATGTAAATGCACTTAATGACTCTTGGTCTATACGTTTTGTAGGAAACTACACCACATTATGCAAGTCTAAGGAGCTTTTTTTCCATACAGTAAAAACGCAGTGATTCACACTGCCAATCTGGGCAAGGGAAAGAGCAACACAAAAAGCTCTAAAGATAATACTTAATTTCCTGTAATACAAAAATACAAAATACAAAAACCTGTAATACTTCATTTCATTTTGTTCTACACACTATTATATGGCTTCAGAAGTCTTGAAGTATAGCAAACAAGTTACTTATATGGTGCCTGGCAGTATGAATCACATTTACTTTCACTGTATGGAAAGGAGCTGCTTTAAACATAATCTTGAAGAACATCATCTTTTGTGATCCACAGAAGAAATACAATCATACAAGTTTAGAACAACACAAGGATGAGTAAACTGTCATTTTTGAGTAAACTGATACAGACACTAGTGTAGGTAAACTCAATTCCACCCATTTACACATTAACATAATGTGTGACCTGCATGAAACTAACAGTGAAATGACAGCATAACTCAATGGAATCTAACAAAACACGTTCTTAAAAGTGTCTTTGTAAACTCCCAAGCAAAACAAAACAGGTTTGCCTGCTAGCAAACAGAAATAGGTTTACCTCATAACACATGTAAAGAGAATAAGCCACAACGCTGAAATTATAGATGACGAGGACCCGCTTCAGATCAAACGGTTTCCTGTTCTCCATTAATCTGGGCCCCAGTGACATCACAAAGTAGATGTAAAATACAATAATAACTGTCTGTGGGAGCGGCGAGGACATGAGCAGCCAGTCTTTTGTCCTGGGGTCTGAAATCACATCATAAGAATATCTGCACTAGTAACTGCATTAGTTTGTCCATTAATCTATGTTTGACACTGCTGCTGTTGTGCACCATAATTCTCTGAGATCAAAAATGTATTGATTTAAAGCAGAGAAAATGAATGTGATTTTTACTTCCGAAACCTGACTGATGCACTCTTTACGAGTTGTTGAGGCTTAAATGTGTGTGGTCATACATTCATATTTTGATTTTCTGATGTCAGAAACCTTCTTACCTGCATCTTTGATCCACTTGTCATACAGCTGTGCAGCTGTGGATGTGAACTCACAGAACGCCATCACTGCCAATGGTCAGAGCCTAAGGTCACAAACACAAAGTGTAGGTGTGATATAACCCTCAAGAGGTGACTGAAGACTATTTATTTTACCATCTACAAAATCTAGTAAAAAAAATGTTTTACATTTAGTGCATTTAAAAGAAACTCATCCCACAAGTTAAGTCTGACACATAATAAGTCACATTAAATACTTTAATTAGAAGTAAAATACATTAATTTACATTTAATTAGTTAAATACATTAACTTAAATGGCACGTTATTCAGACTGAATTTATAATTGAACAATCTTGAATTACACCTTCACAGTACTGCTCCCTTCTTGACAGTATGACATGATGTGATGTAGAACCTAAATGCTCTAAAATGAAGCAGGAAAGGTCCGTGTACGGTGGCGCCATGAAAGGTTGTATTGTGGTAAGAAAACACAAGAATCCTCCATCCTCTCCAGCAAACTCAGAGCTGAACAAGAGGGCGAGTGTTGGGGCACAATGGTCAGCAGTCAGTGTATGTTCAGGACAGGACAGCACATAAAACCAGGGGGGTGGATAAACGAAGATATGCAGAGCACAGAGAACAATGTACAGTAATATACCAGAAAACAGCTGAACTCAGAGATGCATACAATGGAAACACTCAGTTGAACTCGACATGATACCATTACCAGAAAAGTGCATTTCAAATTGAATTATTCTATAATGAACATACATTTCTGTGCCTGTGTATTAGGGGCACAAAAACTAATTTTATTCATTTAGGAGAAATGAGTGCTGAAATTGCAAAAAAATTACTTTGATGCTTCCCAGATCTGGATCAATTTCTAGCATTTATGGAGATAAGAATATAATTTCCAGCAAATGAAAAACTCATTATATAACACATATCTATTATCTTCTTTTTGTGAATAAATATTACTTTAAATGAAAAATATATATATTATAGATAGATAGATAGATAGATAAATAGATAGATAGATATTTAATCACTTGTTAAAACCTTTATCTACAAATAAAAGGTCACCATAACCAGATTTATCATTGGACACACAAGGACAATTCATCTTTATGCTATGAGTTCAAAAAGGATACAGTACATGCATATAAAAATTACATTAAATGTGTTAAATAACAGGTTACTTTAATAATCGATTTCACAGCCCTAAAATAAATAAATAAATAAAAGCACTAACTCAGCAGCTGTACATGAATTCAGGCATCATTCTAGTGAAGAATCAAAGTGTTTTTTTTCCTCCCTCCAACACACACTTTAATGTTTGAAGAGAAACTAATCCAACATGTGTTTCAGGGCATACTGGTCCAGTTATCTGGAGGGAGTTGTTTGCCTAGATACTGTAATCTTTAATACAAGCTTCAACACGCCTGTTGCCATGAGACAGGCAGGTTGCAGGTGTGAGAGAAGGACACTACCTTCCCTCCACACAAGTGCATTCAACACTGGGTGCCAACGGTGGCTGAACTGGAAAACCCAATACTAATCAAAACCAAACATAATATCTGAAATTTTATATGATGTTTGAGTGAGGAATATGCTCTGTTGGCTTAGTGTTTTTCCATAGCTATAGGCAGAATTCTCTGTTGGTAATCTTTCAGCAATTAATAATCACAGGTAAATTAAATAGATTAATGACGCCAGAAAATATCGGCCAAGCAAATGTACAAGTTCAATTCCAGTGCTGGATTCAGCAGAAATAATCTTGCTCTTAAAATCTGTGCATATGTGTGAATATTACTCTCTTTAATGACTCTACATTTAAATAATAGTTGTGTAACCATTAAGAAAAAATATCATTAAAACAATTTATACGTGGTTGTTACAGAAATGTATATACAAAAAATTCAATATCTAAAAAAAAAAATGTTGTTTTCGAGGTTCAGTTATGCACGCATTATTTCATGACATTTTTTTAGAGTCTGAAAAAGCACATAGCATTCCAGAGACGCCATCTGTGCTCTAATAAAGTAGCTCCTTTAGTGACCATAACCAAAAAAAAAAAAACGTGTGATGTCAATCCAAAATAATCTAAATTTACTAATGAAATGACTCAAAATATTAAGCCATGCTGGAATTAATTCCCAGCGTTTTAACAGGGAAGGCAGAATTTCATCATCATTACAGGAAATCAACATCATCACATACGGACTTCACAAAAGAATGCAGGTGCGCATGCACCTGTCTTACCGTGACAAGACAGAAAAAAAGTTCAGATATGTATTTCCACGCACACTTTGAGGTCCTCCCGATCTGCGTTCACAAGGATGCTCGTCCTCTGCCTTTCGGCCAGGTAAAGTGGTACAAAAAGTAAAAGCTAATGGTTTGACCACACGACCTCCATCAATTACTCTTTCAGACGCGGGAGTTCCGTCTTCTTCAATGAGATGAGCGGGCGGTGGGCGGAGACGTTCAACCGATTCTGAGACTGAGGGCTCTGATTGGTCAAATGTCGCATCAGGACTCGCAATGACTGCCATGTAATACAGAAATTTACGAGATGAAAAGCAGAGGCGGACAGTAGTGAAGTATTTTTACTCTGCTGTAAAAGTACTTTTCAGGAGTCTGTACTTTATCAGAGTGTTTTTCTTTAGAAAACTTTACTTCACAACATTCCAAAGCATAATATTGTACTTTTTACTGCACTACGTTTCATTTAATACTTAATTACATTAGAAATCTATTACTTTCTTACTTTTACTCAAGTAAAAGTAATTCAAAGATTTACTTGAGTACAAGAAAGTACTAAATTTTTAATGTTCTTAAGTATTAAAGATAAAACAAACAACCACTTTTATTTATGAAATGAAGTGCAGTAAAAAAGCATGTTTTCCAAAGAAAAACACTCTGATAAACTACCTTTTTAAATTTACTTGAGTAAAGCAAAAATACTTCACTACTGTGCGCCTCTGATCAAAAGTATAGTGCCAAATAATTGTGAAAGATTAATGATGCCACAATATATTAATTTATAAAATGCTCTAATAATATGTTCCATTTTTTCAGTAAACAACAAAAAAAAAAACAGTTTAAAGCTCAAAAATAAAGCGTAAACTTTTAATTGATCATCCCACTGAAGTAAAAACAAATATGTTCAGCATAATCACAAAGCATTTTTTACACTTAACCTTGGTATTTATTGGTTCTAAAGATATGAGAACTTGTAGTTCACATCTATGTGAACCTACAAATCCTGCAGAAGTGAAGCTCAAGACACAAGCTCAAGACAATGAAAAACTTAAAATCCACAGGCAAATCAGTAGGTGACAACCAATGGAAATACTCGACATCCATCAGACTTTTTTTATGTCCATTCACTTCATGTGCATCCATTGATGCAATATGCAACAGAATGCAGTAAGGGCACATTAACCTCTGAAGGAATGTACAGTATATAGTAGTTTATTTGGATATTTAAAAAAAAACTGTTTGATGGATTCCTTGCTCTGTCAGTCTTCATCACTGCTCCAGGCATCTTCAAAAGCAGGATTGATAGCAGCTTGTGTTCCACCCTGTGAAAATATGTATCCAGAATATTCAGAAACATTAAACATTTAATCATTATCAAGCATACACAATTCAGTTCTTTGATGTTTAATTATTGTTTAGATGATACAGGGTACATAGTTGCATATATAAGTTTGTGAATAAGTTGTGGCTGAATAAATTCCAGCTATTACTGCAAAATAAATCAATAGATAAATAAACCTTTAAAAAAATGTATGAAAACTAGAAATATTTTTGTGTGACACTTTGCAAAACTAAAATGGCAAATATATATTTAATATTTTTAGACCTAAAAAGTTTCCAAATACATCTCAAACCACAATATAATAATAAATAATATTATATAATATAAATAATAATAATACATTTACATTTTTTAAATATAGAAATAAAAATAAAAAATTTGTGTATATTGTTGTGTATATGTAATTAATATTTTTTTCAAATACATTGCTAAAAAAAAATTATATCACTAAGCCATGTAATTGCTAATAGCTACTATGTGTGCATCAGTAATGCAGTAATACAATGTGATTATTTAAATGTGTACCAGATTTTTTTTGCCAGAAAAAATGGTAGAGCAGGATGTTAAACACAAAACATAGAGTGACTGATAAACTACAAGCCATCCAGATGTGACTCCAGCTAACATGCACATCTCACGTATAACCATGACTGACAGCAATCGCATCTGAACACATGCCATAATGGGGCATAGTTTTTGTCAGCTCATCTGATCTTATCTATTGGCTAAGGGACGTGAGCAAGGTTGCAAGATGTGTTTACATGATGCACAAATTTGGATTCACTTTCTGTCCCACCTACAGTAGTCCAAACCTGCAGATCTGTAAAGATATAAACAGCTGATCCACAACACATTGTATTTGTCGTAAAGATGCACCATTAATTCAATCAACCTCAGATTTTTTTTTTAATCTAAATAAGAGCCAATTAAATATGTAATACGTTTTATACTAAAAGAATGTCTCAAACTGTTTTACCCGTTTCGAGTTGGTTTCATCATCCTCAATGCCAGGCTGTCTCAGCACTGGGACCCAGGCCAGGATGTTACAATCTTTACCTCCACTGTACAGCTCCTAAAAACACAGCCCACAGATTCACAGTCAATAATGAGTCTATACAAATCTCATTAAATAATTACAAGACCTCAGAAGCTTTAAATTGTTTTACTTAATGGCATACTTATAGTTTGTTTAGTTTATCAGTAAAGACTAAACCGCTAAGCAAATAATCAGGATCAACATTACCTGATAGTCTGGGTGGAACTCACAGCAGTCTACGTTATTATAATGTCCCCTCAACATAGTGATCAGCTCTCCTGAGTGAAGCCCGTACACCGCTACCGAACTGCCACATGGCACAAACACAAACTCCGGACTGCAGCCCCTCGATACAGTAAACTTGAGGCCTTTGCGACTCTCGTTCACAACCTTCCCATAGTTCACCTATTGATGAGAAATAACTATTTTTTTAGCAACAAATGAACAACCTAGCAAATAAAAATGTGCACAGCCATTTTTTAAAGAACATATTTCTTGTCATTAACAAAAAAAGTGTTTAGAAAACACGCGAGTGACTTCAAATGATTTTATCCGGTTTTCATATCTGGCAACATTCTGTCTAAGCTGCTTTTGGAATAAACTCTTTTGATCCACAGAAAGCCAGTAACACTCATGAGAGAAGACTTATTCATTTTGCCGCATGGACATAGGCTCAAAATATAATTCTTGATATACTCTTATACAAAACAGATATTAGGTATTAAGAAAGTCTTCAAACAGCCTAACTGCTACTCACTAATGTGTTTTCCCCTGTGCCACTGTTCCACAGGCGCATGCGATCATCTGTCCCAGTAGAGAGGAGATGAAGTCCATCAGCTGTGAAGCACAATCCATTCACTCGCCCATTGTGTGCTGTGTTCACTGGAAGAAAAGTAAAATATGATATAAAATATTTTTTTATTCTATTTTATATTTTTGCACATTTACATACTTTATATATATTATTTTTTTATTTTACAAATAATAAATATAATACATAAGAAATATATTTGCATTGTATAATAATCTACAAATCAAATGCACAAATATATATATATATACACACATTTAAATTATAGTATATAATATTCATTCTTTTATATATTTATATTACATAATATTGATATAATTATGTAATACAATATGTATTATATAATAAATGCATTACTTTACTAGTTACTTTAAAAAAGTAATCTGATTACGTAACTCGCATTACTTGTAATGCGTTACCCCCAACACTGATTAATTGTACTACATTAGCATATTAACTGGACTATATATATATATATATATATGTGTCTGTGTTCATTTTATTTTTATTTGATTTCTGTGACAGAAGAAAATTTAAAAAATATATATAAGTATAATGAGGGTGATTACAGACAGGTTTATAAAGCATATAAACATCTCTTTTGTCTGATGCTGCAATATGAGCTGTCAGCATCTTTTACACACAGAGGTTATTGCTTTCATTCAGTTCCACCTGCTGCATTTGCTGCTGTGGCAACAGTTTGATATCTCTAAAAACCTTGAACTTGCTGTAAAATTACATATCAATTCTTATACACTATTTAAGTAACAATATTCAGCCACATAAAAAAAGCCTTTTACAGAATGCAAGCAGTAAATAATATTTTCAGTACAGCTACATGAACTAGCTCTCAAATGTTTTTAAGTACAAATTTAACTGATTACAACAGATTGCAGTTCATATAAAGATTACAACGCAGGCTTGATGAAACAAGTGTGCTTTCACCTGCTTCAGATGAGACCTTGGATTTGTCCCCATTGTGCTGGTCCAAAGTAAAAAGACTCCCAGAGGCTCTTCTCACATCCCAGATACGGACCCTACTGTCAGTGCTATCGGGAAATCCATTGCACAAGAATTAATATCAATAATGCAAGATGAATAAATCACTTACAGATGGTCAGGTCAGATTCAGAACTGGCCTTAAACAAGTTCGATCCCTCTGTTCATGTAATGCTAAAATCTCATTTGGGAATTAGATGCCAAACAAAACAGATGCCAAAATGCCTGAAAGTCTTCCTACAATCAGTTTCTTCCTATAATTTTATATGCTTGAAAGAGCCTTGGTTCAGCAGTTTACTTGAAAAATAGATTTTGTAAAAAATCTTGCAGAAGGCTTTCCCACACAGCTCTGTTTTCTTAACTTTCCAGGCAGAAAGGACAGTTTCAAAAGTCCCCAATGGCTAATTATCTCCCTCTCATTCACTTACATTACGCAAACAGAAGGTGAGTGCTGAATCTGTTGAGGAGATTGATAGCAATATGCATATAAAACTGCATGTGACTGGAATATAGAAAAAACTAAATTTACCATAACCAAAAGGCTTCAAATGACTAAAGAATCCTCAATAGATAAAAAAAACAGCATCAAATAGCACAAGATGTGGCTGTTTATTGTTATAGTAGCAAAGGAAAGGTGAGTGCATTGACATTTGTGCAGGTGTGGAAGTGCTTACCTGGCAGTGGCCAGGATGTGATCGTATCGTGGAGACCATCTGACTGAGAGGATCTCGCCCCTGTGACCTGTCAGGGACACATTAACCAACTCTCAATGTTTGTATATTACCATTCAAAAGTTCAGGGTCAGTAAGTTGTTTTTAAAGGAAATTTATATATTTATTCAGCAAGGACACATTAAATTGATCAAACTTTAATGTGTAACATTTTTGTAACCGTTCTATAATGTTACAAAAGATTTCTATCGCAAATAAATGCTGTTCTTTTGAACTTTCTGGGGGAAATTGTTGCTAATATGGCCAGGATTCAATAACCCATGTCTGTTCAAAACATTTGAGCCTTTGGCCTTCAAGAGAGAACAATCACCCTTCACCAGGGCTGTCTCCATTCAGAAACAACAGGCATTACTCACCCTGAAGGATGTGGATGCGCGACCCAGACTTCAGATCACAAAGCTGCACTTTGGGGTCTTTGGTACCAACTGCCAACACAGAGCACAATAGAGCTGTGCGAGAAGAATAACACAACAGCTCAGACACACTGTTATTGTAGGAGTTCTGAGCCCAGTGTCAAGGGGAAAACGCATTGAACACATCAATATATGTTATATGTAATGATGACACAATATTTTTGTTATTTTACAAGATTTATGTACTGGAATACAAATTATAAGCTTTTGGGAAAATGTGGAATATGATCTTAAAAATGGTTCTGATTATGCAGTATGTGAGCCCTTCAGATTTTCCGGCATAAACTGGTCATAAAAATTGACCAGATCTTTAACTAGGTCACAAACAGACAGATACAATCTACTTAAATAACAACTCTTAATCAAATACACGTTTCGATGATCTCCAGTAACTGGAATCAGTAGTTATCAAAAACTTGGAAAAACCTTGGAGGTGTTAGTTAGAGCTGTCTGGTCAAAGTTATCAGAAATTTTAATGCAAACCATGCCTCAAACACTCAGAGAACACCTAATATGAATAATTTTTGACATGCATGAAGTTGGAAACAGTTGCAAAATTCTGTAAAGGCCTTGATGTCACACTTGACGTAATTTTTCTTGTAGCTTTTTACTCTGTAAAGATAATTCAGTGAAGACAAAAAGACTGATCATATGTACAAAAGTATGTATGAGGGCAGATCCCAACTTATGATAAATATGACATTATAGAGAAGGTTGTATTTGGTTATTCATCATATAAACAGTAGCATGTCACTGCTTACTATACTATGGAAGATTATTAAGAAAGCGTCTCCTTAATACCAGTATGTTTTTTCTGAAATATAAATGGACGTGGGGAAATTAATTACTGCAATTCTGGCTGTGAGAAAAAAAAGCAAAAAGAAAGAGAGAAAAGAAGACAATGGGACATTGAGGTGTTCATAACCTGTCCTTCTTGATTAGGAGATAAGTGCCTGGATTCCTCACTTCTCATATCTAAAACAGGAAATGTTTCGCTGTCTCCCCATTTAATGATAATGATGATAAAGTTCTCTTAAATTCTTCCACTTTAACCTAAAGAATTTTCTAGAGCAGAACATCCATCTAAAACATACATTTTAGCAATAAACTCTTTTTTTTGAAGGCCATGAATGTGCTACTCTACAGCTCCAAGGATTCTAGATTATTAACATCTGATTGAAACAATGACACAAAATAATCAAATCAAAGAGAAATGAGTGCTCAGAATTGCAAAAGAACAGCCACATGCAGAAGGTTTGGTTTGGTCAGAGAACACACCTGCTACAAGACTGTGCCTCCTGGCTACAGGAGACATGTGATGACAGTAGACATTGCCATCAAACTGGAACTCCTCAGCTGGCTGAAATAAATCAATTAATTAATAAATAATCATTCATATTCAATGAAACTTCATGTGAAGAATAATATTTTAAAAGGAAAATACACATATATACACCCATGTTAGATGTGCTTAAGGGAGCAAAAGGCATTGAATGTTGCTTGGGCACCATTCCTGTGTGTTAGTTACAATGCAAATACCAGATGAAGGGCCAACAGATACGGGACATTTGACACCACAGAGGAGCCACTGTTTGAGCAGATTGGTGGTTCCACAATTGCTTACTGCATTCAGTTGTGGGATGGTTGGCTAAATTGCATTTGTGAAAACACTATGGGGAATTTGTGGACTGCGTAAAAGCAGGTGGTCATGTAAACTTAGATTAGATTAGATTCAAGATTATTTTCATTGTGCAGAGTACAAGGACAAAGCCAATGAAATGCAGTTAGCATCTAACCAGAAATGAAAATAGCAATATTTAATATTTATAATATATTACAAATAATATATTACATATATAATATAATATTTAGCAATACACTAAATATTATTAGAAATATAAAGAGCAGAAAAAATGAATGAGTAATCTTGAGGACAAGGACATACACACACCTTAAGAGTTTCTGTGTCCCAGACTTTCATGGTTTTGTCGAACGAACTGGATACAAACATACCGGTGTCATGCGGGTACCATTGCACTGTTTCAACGCTGAATTTATGCACATGCCGACTGGACCTTCACAGAAAAACAGAGATGTGAAAGTCACACATGACATGTAAGCACACATTAAAATCAGAAAATATCATACTGCCATCTGGTGATCATTGGATCACTGTGAATGAGAAGGGAGCCATACTGACCTGCCCACTGTGCAGATTGCTTTGCAAGTGTATTGAGGCTTCTTGCTGTTGTTTTCCAAGTCATAGATCACAATTACGCCATCAGATCCACCTGACAACATACTGGAATGCAAAAAGTCAGACATTTGCTGTATTTATTGTCTCTTTGTTATATGGGGTTATCACTAGAAAATAATTGTGTATTAAATGCATAAATATGTAAATGTGAATTCTATGGTTAAAGTACACATACTATCTTCCATCAATAACCTCAATGTCCAGGGTGTTAATTCCATTGCCATGAATACGATCAACATCTCTGTTGTGGTTCAACTTCAGACTCAGCACCCTAAAGATACAGTATGGGAGAGTGGGTTGTGCCACTTTTCAGTGACTTTTTAGACAAATCTGACGTCAAATTAAATGTATTAATTTAAAAACGTTTTATTTAAAAAAAATGTTGTATGCTAGTCCAACATTCTCCTCTATAGATAATATGCATAATGATGCAAGCAAATGTAACAAAATTAAGGTTAACATCATTACACAATACCAAAATACAAATAGTGAAATGTGTTAATATTTGTAAACATTTTTTTTAAACATTTTTTTTTTTTCGACCAACGTACAGTAAACAATTTTTATGGGTCAGTTTTATCAGTGTGCGGACATTACGTTTTTTTTTTTAGCTTTTGTATATCTTTAAAACCAGTTAAAAAGTCTTCAAGAAACCTCGGGGGGAAAAACATTACTGCATTACCTTCTTGTGGACTCTGCACGTCTCAGACGAACTGGGTCGTCAAGCCCTGATTGCCTGGCATACAGAAAACTCAACATCGTTGAAGAGACATTGAAGCTTTTATGTTTATTTGTGTATTGTACGGTGTGATTGTGTTGTCAGAGTGAAATAACTAGAACAGATGTCTGTGTACAGTCTTTTACCAAAGCTTTTTTTTAGCCTGTAAAACCCCGTTTTTAAACTAATATCCATTCTGCACAACACAGTAAATGTATATGATATATTTCAGCTTTTAGACATGATTGTTGTGCACTTTGTAGGATAGGAGGCAGCCATGTTGTGAAGTGTCTACAACGCGAAGTCTGATTGGACAGAGCGAGAGCAAGAACCAATCATATGACAGGATTAATGCTGGGTAATTGTGTAACCTACGACTCAAAGCAAATGTGTATGTATGTGCACTAGTAGAGAAAATAACAGATATTTAACTTATAGTGATGAGCCGTATTACTTCTCTGTTGCGAAGAACATTTGGAGTGGTAAAAGAGCATGTCGGAACAGATCATTTAGGAAATAAATATTACTACATACCCGAGCAGAAGTCATGGACGGGTAGGTCATGTTTATTCATATAAAGGCAAAATAATAACAATAATGTTTATAAATTGTTATTGGTTTTGAGAGTTATCCATATAATGAAACTGTATTACTTTAATACTTAAAATAAACAACTTTAAAAATATATATATATATTTTGAATTTTAGCCATTCTAAAGTTTCCAGTCATACTCCAGCCAACCTCTTTTCTTTGTCCAGTGGTTATAGATAACTTATCTTTTTGTTGTTTAGTTTGATGGTTTAAATAAACCTAATGTCTTGTCTTCTTCAGGAAGGCTCTTGCGGCCTAGACGCCTAGTAGAAGCAGCCAATCCAAAAGTGTTTGAGTACATAGAAGGAATCATTCCTTCTGAATGGGATGGTAATAGAGACTTCATTAATGGACAAATATTATATTTTTACGATAATGTGAATCCAACCGAATATGTCAGTTCAGATTGTTTCTGTATTAACTGTATAAAACTAAAATGAACTGTTGGCATATTTGAAAACTGACCTTAGTAAAGAAGATATTTGTTGTAAGCCCATTATTAGATGTTTTATCATACTGTATATATATTGTTTTTAAATTATATATTAACTTAGTTTTTAAGTGTTTAACATCCTTATCTCTTGTCTTTTTCCCTTAGCTTGGATCAGAGGCAGGCGGAAACAGCCACCTACAACAGAGGTATTATTTGTGTCTGATTATATTGAGAGTGCCTATCAAGACTCGTGTCATTTATATAATGTCTAAAAATACAAATAGAACAAAAACATTTAAGACCAGAAATGTTGTACATTTTCTTTTTATTATATCTTAAAATGAAATGACAATTCTATAGCCAGTAATGTTGTAATGATCATATTATTGGAAGTGTCGTGTTAACATGTGTCTGTTGCCCTCTATAGGAGTTGTTACAGAACGAACGTTACAGGGAGCAGATCAAAATCAGAGCTTCAGAGGCAGAAGAGAGAGATAAAGCCCTGCAGGCCAAAGAGTATGAGGAAGGTTTGGTGGCCCAACCTGTTCAGACTCAGGTCAAAGGTCATGCCTCTGCCACACAGTTTGGACAGACTGATTTCAGTGAGGACCCCGTAAGCACTGCCAACACATTCCAGCCTGGGTCCTGGACACCTCCAGGAAGCAAAAAATAGGCTTATCTGAAACCTCCTTTGCTGTCTTCAAGTAAACTTGCAATTTAAATGATTTAGTAGTTCTGCTGATTTTCACTGCATCTCAACACATCTTAAAAAAAGTGACGTGACATGTGTGTGAGTATGGTGACCCATACTCGGAATTAGTGCTCTGCATTTATCCCATCCAAAGTGCACACACACAGCAGTGAACACACACACCGTGAACACACACCCGGAGCAGTGGGCAGCCATTGTTTGCTGCGGCGCCCGGGGAGCAGTTGGGGGTTCAGTGCCTTGCTCATGGGCACCTCAGTCGTGGTATTGAAGGTGGAGAGAGCGCTGTACATTCACTCCCCCCACCTACAATTCCTGCCGGACCCGAGACTCGAACCCACAACCTTGGGTTACGAGTCCGACTCTCTAACCATTAGGCCACGACTTCCCTCTTAAAATATTCTGGAAACAGTTGAGAAACACTGCAAGTGATGACTGATTAGCTCTTTCATTTTAATAAGTTTAAAGGAATAGTTCACCCAAAAATGAAAAATTGCTGAAAACTGATACCCTCAGGCCATCCAGGATGTAGATGGGTTTGTTTTTTCATCCGAACAGATTTGGAGAAATTTAGCATTACATAATTTGCTCACCAATGGGTCCTTTGCAGTGAAGAATGATGGGAGCCGTCTGAATGAGAGTCCAAACAGCTGATAAAACATGACAATACAACATCACAAAAGTGGATTATGGTTATGTTTTTACTCTCATTTTACTCTGTTTGGACTGTCATTCTGATGGCACCCATTCACTGAAGAGGATCCACTGGAGAGCAAGTGATGTATTGCTAAATTTCTCCAAATCTGTTCCAATGAAGAAACAAACTCATCTACATCTTAGATGGCCTGAGGGTGAGTAAATTGATATTTCTGGGTAAACTATTCTTTTAACATCACTGAAATGGATTATAAAATGATGTAATGAAAAAAAGACATGCTGCTGACTTTCTGTTTCAGGATTGTTTCAAAATCAAATCAAGTGTTTTAGAACATTTTATGCATTCGGTTTAATCAAAATGACATCTTGGATGTACTGGATGCTCGTTTTTGAACAGTCTCACTATATTGAAAACTTAATATCTAGACTAATGTAAAACTATTTCTGTGTATTTCCTTTTGCACTTTATTTAGAAAGTGGGTAAATAAAAGTTGCAGCTGCAGTTATCAAATATTATGTTTATTCCAGTTAATTTACTTAAACAAAAACAGCCTGTTATGTTGCAATCTGGTATTTGTTGTTATTTATATAACGCGTAATTTATTATCATAAACAGTGGTTTGTAGCCAAAATAGTTCTACATTTACTGCACTTTATTCTTCTAGTTATTTACCTATAATGGCTAACGAATCAGAAGTCTTGCACATTCACGGGAAAAATAATGTGGTTAAGATTCAAGAATACGGTAGTAATCACAAATATTAGACAGTTTTGAGCCAAAATTCATGTTACGATTTTTTTATTGTTATTATTAAAAAACATAATTTAAGTGTTTGTGGATTCAACTTGGAAAAAAACGATCAACCCAGTAAAAAATGGAATGCAGAGTACTGCACAATGGTGTATAGCACAACAATGCAGTGCATTTTCCACTGTATTTATAATATCCTGGAAAAGTATTGCAGTCCTGCCTTTGAGATCAATCAACTCCCCATTATAAGTTCCCTCTAAGGGTTTACTAAGGCCTATTTCAAGCCCAGTCTTGCTCCAGGTCCCATATGCACTGTCCTGGGTTAAGAGAAGAGCCATGTAACAAGCTCAATCCTTCTTGGCTCTCTTGGCTTTGGCGATGTTCTCTTGTCGTTTTAGTTTCTTCTTCTGCTCACGATCCTTGGCCTCGATCATCTTGGCAAGTTTCCATGACAACAGGGCACTGGCAATAAACAGAGGAGTCAAAGCCAGGATAACCGTGGTGAGAAAGCCATAGGGGTCTTTGGCTGCCCACTCCACCACATATTCTGCCCATGCTTTGATATCAAGCATCGTCCTTGCACTCCGTCTTCAGCAGCAGATCCTAGAAAGAGAGAAGAGTTGTGAAATCGCATCACTAGATGTAGGATGTCAGTGAAAAAGTTTTAAGCCACATTCCAAAGTTTACATTGTAGTTGAGAGTCAGTGTTGCTGTAATTTACTTTTTATGCCTTTATTGACGGATCATATTGTTAGCTAGCGATTTTAGCACGCAAATAGTGTTTTTCTTCGAGTAAAGATTTATGCTTGTTCATTTTGTGCAATATATATATATATTTAAATATTTTCACTTATTTGATTCAACGGTTAAACCAGTTACAGTTCTCTAACCAAGTTCGATAGGCAGCACTGACAGCTAAAAGCTAGCAACACATCTTTCTAGCAACTGTTCTACACCACCAATAATGAATGAAAATCACACTATAGTAACTTTTCATACATATTAGTATATAGAGCATGTTGTTCAGTGTGATCTGTTTATACAAAAACGAGCACCCACCAGATAAACCGTGCAATATTTGCCGAGCAGTTTTGAGTCGGAAACTGTCGCCAGAAACCCCTAAGCAATTAAAGCGGAAGTGAAACTCTTTACTTGTGTTTGCATTGCAATGTGGGAATTGTAGTCGTTTATTCTTTTGTCTAACTCCGAACGGAAACTGCATATTATTGAAAAGGAAACAGTGGACCCAAAAATAGTAATTTGTAACTATAAAACTTTTAAATCTCTTTAAATATATGTAATAAGGTCTTTTATTTTGAATTCAGCATTACTGACCATTAAATTTGATCGCTGTTAACTATATTTTTCTGCAGCATGAAATGTTATTAATAAAATAAGATAAATAATAAAAATAATAAATAAGTGTTCTACTACCTGTTTCACTTCTGTTATGTCGTTTTTTTTTTTTTGGTGATTGGCTTAGTGTTATGTTAGAATCATTATTATACTCTTATACCTTTTGTTCTTTAATATTTTGAATTGTTTTTAGCTTTATTTTTTGTTTTTAATTTAAATGTTAAGTTTTGAAATTTTGTTGTATGCATTTGTCATTTTTATTTAATCTCTTTATTTTTAAAATGTGTATAAGTGTATTTATAACGTTTTAGCTTTTAGTTTTGGATCTGTTTTTAGTTGTTTTAATACTACAATTGATTGCTTCTGTTGTTCTCATTTGTAAGTCGCTTTGGATAAAAGCGTCTAATAAATGACTAAATAAATAAGTGAAGCGGTACCCTTTTTTTTTCATTTTGTGTTGTATATTGTTTTATTAGCCTTTCTTTTGCACCGCGTTTTACATTTTCTTAGTATATTATTTTTATAATTTGACCAGTTGCAGTTTATAAAATGTTTGTAAAATTTTATTTATAATATAACCTTTCTTGAACATTTCACAAAAAATAGCATTTTTTTTTTTATGAGAACATTATGTCAACAAATAAGGAAGCAGTTAAAATTCAAAAATATAAAATAATGGGAAAAAAAATTATAAAATAAAAAAAATACAAGATAGGGCTATATAATTAAAAATCACATTCAAAGCAAAAGATATAGTCCCAAAGTAATGCTGTATTTCAGCAAGCTAAACAAAAAAAGTTCTGACTTGATAATTTGCATTTATGTATATAACATTTTGTTAAGAAGATTAAGTATATTTAGTTTTTCTGTAAATGCACTTTTTTCCAATTAACAAATCCAAACAATACATTTTCCCAAAGTAAAGAAAATTCTTTATCAATACTCTCATTAACAAATAAAGAAAAGTCTTTCCACAACAATTTAGAGTAATGGAAAAATAGCATTATTCAGACCAATATTTTGACAGCCAATTCTGTCGCCAAGGAACAACCAATGTCTGTCGCCATATAGGTCACGTGACCAAACAAACCGTCCAATCACAATCTTCCGATAAGTTCGCGTCGTAATTTTAAACGGGTGTGTGAATCGAAACATCCTCGGGTTATCTATTTACACAGCCAGCGAAAATTCAATGTGCGAGTTTACCTATTCATATATTCGGTAATCTTATTGAATATAGCCTACGGATGCATTCAACAAATCAAAAATAAACTTACCCGTATATGTAGGAACACATCGCGATCTTTTCAATGAGTTCTCACATCGTCACCCCAGGTCCATACAGGGCCACTAAACTGGTGAGTCTCTCCTGCCTTATTTGATCAAATATGGTCTGCTGATGTATCACACTAGTTTACAAGGTCAATGACCTGCATGTCAGTTTTATCATGCACATATATTTGTATGTAAAGCACTTTGAGTTGTTATATGTGATCTAAAGAAGTGTTTTATTTTTTATTGAGTGTTCCTTGAATCAGCTAAAATACTTTTTCTATATGAAGTTCACATTAAAACTGTTTATCATCCCTTCATCATTTATTTTTGCTACTTGTACTGTATATTTAATGTTAATTGTGTATACATTTTGAACAACAACAAAAAAGAGTGACAACAATATTACTCTGTGAAACTTTAACATTTTTCTACCAGTCATTGAATTTTGAATTAAGTGATTGCAAGCTCCTCATGTGATATTAACCCTTTATGTTCCAGTGGAATGAAGTAACCAAGCTTTTCCGGGCTGGGATGCCTTTGAAGAAGCACCGGCAGCACTTCAGAGTTTACATGAACTGCTTCACTACATCAGCAGCTGTGGACTGGTTACATGAACTTCTGAAGAGCAACAGCAATTTTGGACCCGAGGTCACCAGACATCAGACAATCCAGCTGCTGAAAAAGTTCTTGAAGAACCATGTTATTGAAGATGTGAAGGGTAGATGGGGCATGGAAGACCTGGAGGACAACAGTCAGCTGTACAGGTATGATAAAGTGGATGTTTTTGAGAAATTTGGTTTAAAAAGAAATTGAGAAGCAATGTTTTCTGGTTTAAAATATGCTTCAGGTTTCCATCAACATCTCCGCTGAAGCCCATTCCTAACCGTGCCCCTGTTTTGAGGAAAAAAAGCATATATATGATGGACAGGGAGAGTTTCTTCAAATTCAGGAGCTCGAAGAAATTTGACAAAGAAATATTGGTAATTTTTGTTGTTTCAAATGTGTTGTTAATGTGAAATTTCATTGCAGATGTATAATATCCACTTGCTAT